GGAACACTTCCACCTGTAGCAGTCTCTCCAAAAGGCACTGTAGAGGTGGTTTGCGGGAGTTAAATTCTCTCAGCTTTTGAGTATCTGAAAATTGTTTAATCCCTCCTTCAAATTTAAATGATAACCTTGCCAGGTAGAGTATTCTTAGTTTAAGGCCCTTCTGCTTCATTGCATTAAATATATCATGCCACTCCCTTCTGGCCTATAAGGTTTCTGTTGAGAAATCTCATGATAGCCTGATGGGTTTTCCTTTGTATGTGATCTTTTTTCTCTCTCTAGCTGCTTTTAAAAGTCTGTCTTTATCTTTGAACTTTGCCATTTTAATTATTATATGTCTTGATGTTGTCTTCCTTGGGTCCCTTGTGTTGGAAGATCTGTGTACCTCCATGGCTTGAGAGACTATCTCCTTCCCCAGATTGGGGAAATTTTCAGCAATTACCTCCTCAGTGACACTTTATATCCCTTTTTCTCTTTCTTCTTCCTCTAGTACCCCTATATGGTGAATATTGTTCCATTTGGATTGGTCACACAGTTCTCTCAATATTCTTTCATTCTTAGAGATTCTTTTTTCTCTCTGTGCCTCAGCTTCTTTGTATTCCTCTTCTCTAATTTTTACTCTCTTCTACTACATCAGTCTGCTTTTAAATCCCTCCATTGTATGTTTCATTTCAGGTGTGGAATTTCTTAATGATTGAATCTCTGTCTTAAATTCATTTCTGAGTTCTTGAATATTTTTTGTACCTCCATAAGCATGTTTATGATTTTTATTTTGAACTCTCTTTCAGAAAGATTGGTGAGTTCAGTTTCATCTGGCCCTTTTTCTGGGGTTTGTGAGATTTTGGTCTAAACCTGGTTCTTTTGACATTTCATATTTCTATGCAGTGCCCTCTAGTGCCCAGAAGCCCCAGTCAGTGGAGCTACTCAGTCCCTAGAGTGAGGTTGGGGGGTCGTAGGAGAGTGAAGCTGGTGCCAGGGGGAGGAAAGATCTGTTTCCTGATTCCCATCTGTTGTGCCTCTCTCCAGTATCAGAGGCAGTGGACTGAGCACACAGGTGTAAGCCTCTGTGCTTGGCATCTCTAGCTGTTATAGGTGGGGCCTCCATTTGGCTGGCCTGATGCCAGTGCAGTGACTGCCAGTTTTTGAGTGGGTGCTGTCAGGCCAGGAGGAAGGCTCGGCAGGCTGCATGTCACAGTGGGGGGCCTTGGAGCTGAGCAGCCAGCCAGGGGGATGGAGCAGCTGTAGTTCCTCAAAGTTCCCAAACTGTTGGGCAGAGTATGCTCAGACAATGTTGTCCAGCTCTCCTTTCTCCTGTGCAGCAACCTCCGTGCAAACCCTGCCCCTTCAGCAGCCCTCTCACTGCTAGGAAGCCTCTCAGACTGCCTGCCTTTCCTCTGTCACAGAGATGCCAGATGTAGATTCTGTTCTCCACAAACAGCCGGAATCTCAGTCTCTCAGGCACTCTGCCTGTCCCAGCTCCCCAACCTCCAGAGCACCACACAATGTAGGTTTCTGCTCGCAAAGCAGCTCTCCAGGGCTAGGTATTCAGCAGTCCCAGGCTTCCACCCCCTCCCCCGCTCCATTTCTCTTCCTCCCACCAGTGAACTGGAGTGGGGGAAGGGCTTGGGTCCTGCCAGATCAAGGCTTTGGTACGTTACCCTGTTTCGTGAGGTCTGCTCTGTTCGTGAGGTCTGTATGCAGCCTGGTTCAGCCTTCTTTCTCATTGCTGTTTTAGGGCTAATTCTGTTAACTAACTATATTTTTGTACTATTTGTGGTTTTGGAAGGAGTTCTCTGTCTCACCTCTCACACCGCCATCTTGAATCCTAGAGAGTGATTTTTATATATATGCCCTCATTTTGAAATAGTGAATAACAATTATAGAATCATAGGATAGACAAGGGATTCCCTTTTACTTCTTGGTGGGATGTTACATAAACTACTACTTCTGAGAGAGGCTTATTCCATTTGTCTTGTGAGAAATTGAATAGACAATGGACAATGGCAAAACCAAATGTGGCAATAGCACTCTGAAGCAGTCTGTCCAGAATGGTCAAGGACTTGGTCAATGACTGCCAGCTTCCCTATTTTTTGCTGTTGCTTCCAACTCAGGACAAACCAGAGGAAGCCAAATATGCTTGCCAAATGAATCACATAAGATGCTCTGCTTCTAGCTAACCCATCTCTTGCTTGCCTGTGCCAACAGCCTCTAACCAGAGCATACCTGAGGCCTTACTTCATTTTCACTACAAAGCTTTACTCCACACTCCCCTGCCTGCTTCTGAGTTTTTGTCAACTGAAATGATGGTAACTGACTCTTGCTAAAGCAAGCTCAGAATAAATAGCTTCTGTTTGTTATCATTCCAGTGGCCTTCATTTATTTCCTTACTTGACTGTTCCCAAAATAGAAAGTTTCTGGTGGATTCCAAGGCCAGCAGTAGAGGATGGGAGCCAGAGCTGCCCTCAGGCTCTGAAGTGCCCATCTGAGTGCCACTTGGCATTTCCTCCAGGGAAGATGATAGTAGCCACTCACCCTCCGTTAACAACTGTAGCCCTGCTGTCAAATGATGAGATAAATCATCCAACGTAAGTTCAAAGTGGCGATTGTATATATGAAGTTCACCTAGTGATCTGGAAGCTGGCCAAATGAGTTTCTGTGTCAACCAATTTTCTCTCAGGACTACACAAAAAGTTTCATAGTTGGAATGATGATAAAGGTGAAGTAGATGTGTGGGTAGTTGAAAGCATTTAAAACAAGCTGGTTATAGCATCAGCTTTTACTCACTTTGCAAATGTTTTAAATCTCATCAGTGTTGATCTTGAGCAACCTGGACACAGCCTAGACTAAGAAGAAGCATTGCTCTGGAAATAAAACTTAGTCTCCAAACAGGGTTCCTGAACTAAAGAAATGACCAAGGGCAGGTTTATGGAACATTTCCTCTTCACTAAACTAAGATTACTGGACCATTGTGAAGTTAAAATTGGATAATAAGATATTTTTAAAGGAAAATAATTGGAAGAGCATAAATGCAAGACATTATAAAGCACAACTGAATTTTCAGCATAATTAATTTTACCCCAACATATATATCATTTGGATCAGATTAGCAAACTCATGGAAGAACCAAGAGTGAATACAGTTCATGGACTGCCTGGGGGAAGAGCAAAATGTGTGGAGAGCCAGTGCTGGCTGACTACCTTCTAATTCTCTTCCTATTGAAATGATAAGAATTATAAAAGAGATGGATAAGTCTCTAACCCTGGATAGAGATTGATATTAGCTTCTTGGGAGCCATTTAAACTCACTTTCTGACAAATGGCCTGGTGCCACTTGTGATCCCACTCTGTGACTGTCAAACCAGTCTCATCCACAGAAACTAGGCTGCGTTTTAAGTTCCTTCCAGGTGAGCCTCACAGGAAACTCAGTGAGGAAAGTTGCTGTCAGCATGCCCGTTTTCATGAGGGGTGCATTCAGTTGTACTGTGGCTGTGCCTCTTTTGGCCATAAAACCCACATATATAAATTCTCACTAGATGTACAATTTCTCATAAAATTAGGGTTTTAATTCTAGAGATATATTCTCTGAAACCTTGACATGATAAATCAGTGCAAAAATTGAATTTAATTCAATAATCCAGATACATTCAGTGATATATATATATTAAAATATGCCATTGAAGCTTCTTGCAGGTTAACTTTTGGCAGGTACAGGGGCTTAAGGCTGAAAGCAGAACAGGTGATGTATGAGTTGCATTATCACAATGATTCTCAACCCCAACTGCACATTGGAATCACTTAGAAAACATATTTAAAATATCAATGCCTAGGTCCCATCACCAGAAATTAAAATTGTGTAGGGTAGGACAGAGTTTTGACATTTTTGGAAAACATCCAAAAAGATTTTAATGGTTAGAGCATTTCCTCCAGGGAAGGTAACAGAGGCTTGGAAGTTACCTATGGACACCGGATCCCATAACTACCATGCTGTTAGATGATGTGGAAGGACTCCAAGATAACTTCAAAGTGACAGTCAGACTGTGAAGAAGATTCTTGTTGATGAATGCTGTGATTAGAGAAGACAAGTGTTCTGGAAGGTAAGATAACGAGAAGTTTACCTACCTCCGCCCCCCCACTGTCTTGTGGAGCTTAACTGCTTCCCCAGGAACCCTCGGATTCTTGGAGACATGGCTTAGCTTTGCAGACCCGGCCTCCCACCTGCCCTGGGCCCAGAGGTTTCCTTGAGCCGTTCTTCTCTTTATTCCCAATCGTCGTTTGCTTTGGTGCTTCCCATGTGCTTCTACCAAACGCTCTGTTTTCAACAAACCATTTTTCTGATTAGTTACTAGCCTTTTGAATTTCATTCCTATCTTTCTGTTACAATGCTCTCAATTATATTCTCTAGTCAATAAAAAGGTGGCTCAGTCTTATCACAGTTCTATTACTAAAGTGACCTCCATTTTCACTTTCTTGCCTTATTGTCAAAAACAACACATTTCCTTTCAGATTTCATGTATTCCATGTATTTCCTTCTCTGTTCCATATATATCATATGATTCTTTTTGCTAATAAGGAAAACTCAAGATATTTTTATTTAAAATGCTGTAATCAGAAAACACCTGTCATTTCATACAAATGTTTCATGTCCAGATATTTATTCATCTATTTCCCTCAAAGCCCCAGTGATAGTAAAAAAGCCACAGTCTATTTCAAATTAAAATGCATGGCTGTAAAGGCTATTTGACATGCAGTAATTATTTGTGTAGTCTTCTAGCCAAGCATACAAATTGCCAATGTCTCTGCCCTTGAAGGAAATGAACTGTGCAAAATATTTCAAGCAAACATGATCCAACTGTTCACACAAAAGGGAGGCTGCATAAGAAATTCATTGTGTCTCTACCCAAATTTCCCTTCAACTTGCCACAGATCAGCATGTACTTCACCTCTTTGGCACCAATTAAAATCATAAACAGATGAGCTTTTCAGCAAAGGAGGGCTGACGTGCCTTCTCACAGATGGTCAGCATCACATGTTGCATTAATGGCTGCATTATGCCATGAGGGCGATGTATAAAAACAGTGGGGCTCAGACCACTTCAGCTCCAATTGCTCTCTGTTTAGAATTGCCTGTCTTTCAAGATGGATTTCCTTCATAGGAATGGAGTGCTCATTATTCAGCATTTGCAGAAGGACTATCAAGCTTACTACAATTTTCTAAGTTTTATGTCCAGTGTTGGAGATCCTCGGAATATCTTTTCTATTTATTTTCCACTTTGGTTTCAACTTAATCAGACAGTTGGAACCAAGATGATATGGGTAGCAGTCATTGGGGATTGGTTCAATCTTATTTTTAAATGGTAAGCCTTCTGTTTTGTTTCATTTTTCCTAAAGCTTATTCTTAAACTGTAGCTTGGCTTAATGATCACATTTCAGATTCCTATCGTTTTGCTTGGAAAATCTTTCAAACATACCAGTTAACTTGAAACCCCTATTCATAAATAGAATGTACAAAAAGAATAGAAATGTATGCTTTACCTGACTTATAAGTAAATTCCAAAACCCTATAACATGTATGCTGTGATTATCCAATGAGTTCACTAAGTGCACAGCACCATAATGAAAACATTGATAATTCCAGGGCCCACTTTGATATTTGCATTCTAAGTATCCAAAGCACCCATGGGATGTCCCCTGCAAGGAAAAAGTGTGCCTGTTTTTATGGAAAGTAGGAGCCAAAACCCCAAATGACTGTGTCATCCTCTATAATGAGTGACAGACCAGAACCCAAGTTCTTTCAGTCTCCTCAGCATAAGCTTTCTCCATCAATGCTCTGCTTGAGTCATTTTATAGGAAAAAATAGCTAGTCCCTAATTAAGTAATCGTTGTGTATTTAAATATATATGCATACTTATATATTTTTAAATACAGGGTACTATTTGGTCATCGGCCTTACTGGTGGGTCCAAGAAACTCAGATTTACCCTAATCACTCAAGTCCTTGCCTTGAACAGTTTCCCACTACATGTGAAACAGGCCCAGGTAAGCAAATATAGCAGCCTCAGGTTACTAAAGGTATTCCAATAGAAAGTCATAATGTCTGATTATCATCTAATGACTATATGATATTATATAGGGTATTAAAGAAAATGCCATGGGTAAGGGTGCTTAAAGTTCACAAGCATAAAATTTGCTAATGAAAAGGAAAGAAGTTTCATGAAAAATCAAATTTCATTTTGTTGTTTGTAAAAAGGTAAGTTAGGAGACTACTCCCAAATGATTTTATATTTGGCATTTATTTTTTGGACGAATGTAATGCTTTGATTTTGAAACAAAGAAAAAAAAATCAGTTAGTTAGAAAAAATTCCCAAAGAACTATATTAAAATCCTAGAAATGTTTATTTATCTGCTGCTGAGCAATTTTCATAATTATAGATCTTCTGAGACTCTCATGAATGAGGGGAGAATAGACACATTTTCTATATAAAAAGGAAAGGACTTCCTGCTATTACTATTGCTAGGAGAGATGATCTCTAATCCTAAAATTATTTCTTTTGAATTTCCTTTTTTCCTCTTAGGTTTGTAGTATGTAAGTAGACTTCTTAGGCCACTTCCTTTTTTATTATAAAATTCTATGTGAGTGTAAAATCTTTACTGCGGAAGTTGACTTCAAGATTATAAAAAGGTTTATTGAAATATATATATATATATATAAGAAAATTACATGTCACTTTAATTTACAAGACTGTGTGATATTGTACCTTTCCATAGTTTGTTACATAGCATAAAGTTCTTGCCATTTGACATCCTGAAACTAGCCCTGAGTATAGTGAATGGGTAAGTTCCTAATGAGTTTTCTGAATATATTTCTTTTTGATGCCCATAAAAATATATACCCATGCATATTATTATCACATTGTACTGTAATTCATCCTTTCTATATCTGGCTCTCTCACTAGACTGTGCATTCTGTCAGGGATAGTGCATATTTTATCTTTATGAAACCAGTGTGTGTTGGATGGATGAATAATCTTTGAGATAGCTGAATGCCACTCTGGTTCATGCCAGCACTTCCCAGCATGTGTTCTATCTTATGAGACATTCTCTGGGAGAAAAAAAGAAATATTGCATTCCACATTTATTCCTTGAAGATTTACAACTCATGTAAGCATGTAAACGGCTCTGAAAATTCATGTATAAGAAATAGACTTGAAAGAAATAGATTGATAAGAAATAGATTTGTCTTTAACTTAGTGATTAAAAAAAGACTAGTGTTTAACCTTAATAAATTGTGACTTACTTAAGAAAAAGAGAGAGAAAAGAAAAGGAAAACAAGGAAAACAAAAAACAGAACATCAAAGCAAAATGATTACGAAAAAAATCAAGCAGCATGGGAAAGACATTCTGGGACTAGAAGGGCTACCATTCTGTAGGCTTTTGCCAGATTTGATGCCCCTTTACGGCTTCCCTTGACCATTTAATGACAAAGATTCAGAAGGGGCCAGCCACGAGATAAGCATGGGGTAGCTGCTACTGCATAGCAGTCATTTATAAGTCAATTGGTAAATCAGACATAGTAATGCTATCTTTAGATACCTAATGATTTCTCTTTAGCTCAAGAAAAATAAGCTGATTCAAGATCCAATACAAGTACTTTAATTTTCTGATCAATTGAAAACAAGGTATGAAGAATGAATAGCGATGTACCAGACTTTGGTGCAACAGCCTGAGTTCTTAATTAGCTTTAAACATTTTGATTTATGGAATTCCATGAACTTAAATCTGGAAAAAAGATTTGTCAAAGTAGTGTTTTGAAGCTCAATTTGATGCAATTTTTGAAAAATCTTTATCCGTTTCTAAACATTGCATATAGCCTGTGCTCTGTGGCTTTTTCCTGAGTTATTTGTAATTTTCATTGCTAATATGCTATTCAGTTGTCCATTTCTGATACTGATAATGTTAACCTCTATTCAAATGGATCAACACTTTGTTGTTGCAGGAAGCCCATCTGGCCACGCAATGGGCTCATCATGTGTCTGGTATGTAATGGTAACTGCTGCCTTGAGTAACACTGTCAGTCGGGTGGATAAGTTGTCTACCATTCTACACAGGTCAGTTTTGCTTCAGTTTCTGTAGGACTTAAATATGACAGTTTTAAATACAGAAAATATTTTTAAAAATTCATTTTAGTGTATTTTTTTTGAAATGTGCTTCTTCTGTCATAGGCAAAATAGCAAAATGAATAGAAAATTAATATTTTGCTTTAAGATAATGCCCTAATTTGCTCACAGCTACTGCCACATTATAGGATTGGAAATGTTTAATTAATTAATGATCTGCTAAAAGTGCCTTTGGGTTTCTATAATACAATAATTTGCTCATACATAAGTCATCTGAAATTACATAAGAAAATATTTTTGCATGTGTATTCCCTTGCTTTAAGACATACTAGAAGTGTTGAGAATCATCATTCCCCTTGAATGCATTAGTTTAGTAAAATTATGCTTCCTCCTTTGATTAACCAAAGCTTTTGACATTAATAACATGTATTCTGGCTCCAAAGACTATGCGACCTTTTTAATTAAAAATATTCTAGAGACAAACTTAAACTTGAATGTTAGTAGATTTACTGTTAGTAGATCCCTAATTTTTAGAAAGGACTATAACTTTAAGATTACTCAAAATTTTTGCAAAAATTGGGTTCTTTCCTTCTCTTCTTTCCTGCATCACCTTAATTATCATTTAAATAATACCGAACACCAATTTAATCATAAATTATTAGGCTACTGAGATAAGATCTGTCAGTTAAAACTGCTTAAAAAACACTATAACATATACAATTATGTAAATATTCTTCCAAACTAAAGAATTTCTGAGAGTCATCACATATTCCACTTTTTAGACTACTATTGGATAATATAAGAAACAAAAGACCTAAGGAATTCAGGCATCTTTAAAGTTTATTCTAATGAGACAGTGACTTGTGTGCCTTAATGGATTCATTATCTAGCACAAAACAACAGTGAAATTAATATATCTTCCCATGTACAATTTTTCAAAATAGAAATCTAAACAAGCCTCACTTTCTCTGAAGTTCATTTCCTCCTCCAGTTTCCAAACCTTGAAAAATATTTGTTTCTCCTAAAAAAGTTCTATAATTTCCTTTAGATTTTTATAACTACAACATTTCTTTCACCATCAATACTTTTGGACTGCTTACTGTTTGCCTGAATATTATCAAATCCTCATCCATTTCTCTTCCACGTGGAGGCCCCGGCTCACTTTCTCTCTGGTAGTTCTGCTTTTCTCTGTTCCTTAGTTTTTCAATGACCAAAGTCTGCTCCAATTATTAGAAACAAAACATTCAAAACCCCCAAGGATTCCTATAACTCAATACTGCTAATTCTTTTTGTAATTAAAATGATGAGCACTGCTGTATTATAATATTTTCATAAGTTTTTTTGCCCATTGCTGCTTCTAATCCAAAATACATAACTATAGGTCAATTCCCTTGTTCCTTAATTTCTATATGTCAAAAAACAAGGAACTAAGGCTTTTGTGAGTCTGTGAAATAAACCCAGTGAAAACTTGCCCTTGATGAAATGTTCTGTACACTTTTCATCAGAATGCAGCCTCTTCAGTGAGTGTTATTCAAGCAAAGAAATGTTGAGAGAGGTTAAAGAGGAAGCACATATGACAAGGAGTAAAAATGTACATGATACGTTCTTGGCTATTCTAAATATTAGGAATTCCCCAAAGTTGGATTTCCTCTACTCCATTAAATAATTATCAGGATGTCAACTGACTTCCTTTTATAGCATTTATTAAAATCTCAGGACATAACTCTGGTTGAGTTTAATGCCTCGGTAAATGTAGAAGCCTTGGTTAAAGATTTACAAAGCCTATGGAGCACATGGAAACATTTTGTAAAAAAGACTCTAGAATCATGATATGTCAAAGCTAGGTAATTCTTGTGAGAAAGACCATCTGGCGTCGCCCCTTTAATTTTATGAGTGATACAATTTCTTTGCTTTTTATGCTTTTATCTATTCTTCCATCGTAGACTGACCTGGTCATTTCTTTGGAGTCTTTTTTGGTTGATTCAAATCAGTGTCTGCATCTCCAGAGTATTCATAGCAACACATTTTCCTCATCAAGTTATTCTTGGAGTAATTGGTGGTAAATATGATCATTTACCTTTAGTTGTGGCATTGGAAAGTTTTAGTGTCATTTGTCTTATGTTGTCAGATTCTCCCTAGTAATCGGTTCCCCAGTCTCCACTAATTCTGTCAAACCACTGATACTAAAAGCTACCCTGGGAGTTTAAGTAGTTCAACACCCTCTCAAAGCTTTCATGCACACAATGGAAAGCCGTCTCCCTCAATGGTATAAGTGCATATCCTCTTTGTGAGATGGGCTTCTCTGAAGTGTGACAGAGCCAAGTCCAACTCCCAAGCCACCACTTCAGACAGCCTGCTGTGTCTTGGTTTGGAGGATTTAACAATGACCCTCCAACAAGCACGCCATGTCACTCTCTCTCTGAAATACCTAAGGTTATGACATGACTAGAGCCTTCATTTAGCAGCTGCTCTGTATTCCTGAAGTGGTGTTCACCATGACTGAATCTTTACCATTCAACCCCACACACCTTTCAAAACTCTCTAAGTTTATTGGCTGTGGCAACTGAAATATTAATTCCGAGCACCTAATTCAGTTCTCCACCTATCAGGTGGTTGCCACTCAATACCATGGACTCCTGAGCGACCCCCCCTCTGGCTAATATGGAAGGCCAGGGGCAAGTGGGTGTTTTTAGTTATTGCCTTAAAAAAAAGGCTTTGGTAAATGGATATATATCCTATGTCTAATATACCATAAATGTCTAAATGTCTAAAGCTCTTTATCATTGAAAACTATGCCTAAAGGGGAATGATTCCCGAAGGGCTCAAGGGCATATAGTCATCTTCAGTGTCTCTTTCTAATCCCCAGGTGTGCTTGTGGCAGAGGCCTTTGAACATACTCCAGGCATCCAAACAGCCAGCCTTAGCGCATACCTGAAGATCAGCCTCTTCCTCTTTCTCTTCACGCTTGGCTTTTACCTGCTTCTAGGGCTACTTGACATTGACCTGTTGTGGTCTGTGCCCATAGCCAAGAAGTGGTGTGCCAACCCAGACTGGATCCACATCGACACCACTCCTTTTGCTGGGCTCATGAGAAACCTTGGGGTCTTTTTTGGCTTGGGATTTGCAATCAACTCGGAGATGTTCCTCAGGAGCTGCCGGGGAAAGAATGGCTGCAAGCTGAGCTTCCGGCTGTTCTGCGCTGTGGCTTCGTTGACCATCCTACAGCTCTACCATCTCATCAAGATCCCCACTCAAGCAGAGTGTTTATTTTATGTGCTGTCCTTTTGTAAAAGTGCGTCCATCCCACTGACGGTGGTTGCTCTGATTCCCTATTGTATTCACATGTTAATGAAACCAAGTGACAAGAAGATTAATTAGAGTCATGCGGCGGGTTCGCATTCTGTGGTCCTAGGATGAACCTCCTCTATTCTCCCCACAGAACCACAGAGCAGGGAGAGACTGTGGTTCTAAGCAGAGGTCACAGAATGGTGTTCCCAGACCCCATCCCACCCATACATATGTTTACTTTTGCCTTCAGAGTGGTCTATTTTCCAGTCCTATTAAATTAGTTGGCAGCATTTGAAAAACAGACATAAATATCTGAATTTTGATATTCTCTTGAAAAACTTGACGATTTGGCAGCACAGGGCCTGCATTCCTGCCTGGAAACAATCTGCTGCTGCTGACCGACTGTCCCCAGTAGGAGGCAGCATTTTCCGTTTTATCACAGTCTCCAGCTGGGACGCAGGAGCCTCGCGCGGCAGATAACCTCTTTCCTATGAAGGACAGACTGCTTCTGGTTCTTGTGGGCATTTTAGTGAAAACCCTAGTCAAATCCATTCCCTTCAGTTTTCAGATAAGGAAGTGAAGGTTCATTCAGGTGAAAGTACTTGCTACTGTCACACCCATCAGAACAGAAATTAGAACCCAAGTCTTCTAACATGTATTTCTATTGTTTTTTTTTCTCCATTTCTGAGGTAAAAATCTGTAAGAAGAGTGAATGTTTTTATGTAGATTCTGTAACAATTGCCATATAAATCAACTGTTTTTCCAGATGACATTGAAATGCCGCATCTTGTTTGACTCACACCAGGCAAGGTCTTGACAGGGCAGTGGCTCTAGGTGTGGGTATGTGTCCAGGGGACATGCAGTAGGCCTGACTGCTGTCTGGACTTGAACCTCTGCTTAACTCCTGGCCTCTGTTTTACAGTAGGGCTTTCCAATATATCAATAAATAGTGCTCAAGAGGCTCTGCTTAGAACATTATTTACCCCAAAAGGCTTATCTCTTCACTATGACATCCCTATACATTGTTTTTAGGAGTCATTCTTTCAAAGCCAGGAAAATCAAGTGCCTTCCTCAAGATCATACTCTTCCAGCTTTTGTAATGTATTTTGTAAAGGCAACACCATATACTCTATAAATACACATAAAAAAGGACAAATAATTACTTTCGTTTTTAGGGGTTTTGTTATCCTCAACTTTTGCTTTAGAAAATTCTTATTGATGGAATATTAATGTTATACTAAGAATTTCTCATAAGGTTTTTCTTTTTTCTCACTGGACCTAGGAATTCTGGACTTCAAGTTAATAACTATGTCATTTTCAATCAAGTACATTTTGAGTCAGATTTTGTTATACATCTTAGTGACACAATGTTTTAGATAACTTTTCTCAAGAATATCAATACATGAATTATTTTAGATAATGACATATTTATGAAATTTTTGAAATTCTATAAATACTTACAAAAACAACCTTTCAAGCTAGTGCTATTTGACAAAATATTAGTTGAGGATAATAAAATCTCTAAGAATCAAAGAGGTTATTGGTCCCTTTTCTAAGTGTACTTACAGAGTACATACTGTTGCTTTTACAATACACAGTTAACAGTTTTTTTTAAAGGGGTAACTGAGCTAGGTTTCAGTAGTTGGGTGATTCCTAAGCAAGAAGCTGAGGGATGAAGAAATATTATCTTAAGAATGAAATTGTCTCATGTTGATGGGACATTTTGGGTGAAAGGGAACAGTGACTACTAAGCTGATTACCCTTGCTCATTCAGTCAAGCTTCCCCCCCACCACCACCGGTGTTGTCCTTAGAAGGTGCCTTCAGTCCTCTTAACACTTTATGATGCATTTGCCTCATCACATACTCTGCTAGAGATCTCATTACTAAGAGGCCTTTGTCAAAGTTTCATGAGATTAGTAATGTGAGTTTTGAGGACTTCTTCATCCCAGTATAGCCTCAGCCTGCTCTCAGTGAGGCCTGAGCACACTGGGGGATTAATGACTAGGGGATTCTGTTACCATGCTTGACTCCATCATAAAGCCCTTCTTGGTTCCCAGAGGGAAGTTCTCTTCAGCCATCCAGAGCAAGTGCTGTTAGGTGACACATGCTTTTCAGAAAGGAATAAGACAAGGTTGTAGGCTCATTTTCTATCACTTATCCCCAACAAATCTACCCCTATCTGACATGATTCCCCCAAGTTCCCATATAATGAAATTTCCCTTTTTACTTTAGTTGAAGTCTCCTGGAGGGATCAATATGGTGACAAATTGCTTTTGCAATTAAAACTGCTTAGGCAGTAGGAAGAACAGCTTCTTGTAGCCTTGGAGAAAATGCCTGCCTTTAACAATAATGGAAAAGACTCTTCTGCTTCCAATTTATTTGCCAAAAGTAATTGGAATTGAGCTCATTTGACTTACTGCATCCATATGTTCGAAATGTCTGTATATCTGCATATTCAGTAGAAAAAATGTCAGTATGAGCTTTCAGAATGAGAAAATCTAGACAAGTGACTTGGAAAACTGTCCAATCAAATATACATTTGAAAAGAAATGCAAAGGAATTTGTTATTGCTGAACTAACTATCAAGAAGAGTATTGAATCCTTTTTCTTTGACATCCTGTTGATTGGACATCTGCTTTAGAAGATTAACTTGGTGTCTTTTATAGACCTATTTCAGTATAACAAAAGAGTGATTTGAAAAAAAAATTATTATAAGATGTCCATGAAACTCAAAGTTATATCTATAAATGCTCTATATTTATTTGCAATCTATATAAAAATTCAGGATTGAACTGGTACATACATATAAAAATTGATATTAAAAACACTTAGTTTTAAAAATGTGACTCATTTCTTTAGTATATAAAGGTGTATATTACAGCACTCTTCAACTGAACTTGTTACAGTGATGAAAATGTTTTACATCTGTGCTGTCCAGTAGGGTAGCCACTAGGCATTTGTGGTTATTGAGCTCTTGAAATGCAGCTAATACAACTGGGGAATTGCATTTTAAAATTTTATGTATTTATAATTAATTTATAAATAATTAAATTGTCATGTGTGCCTAGTGACTACTGAATTGGACAGCATAGATCAAATTCCACATGTTTTTCTTGAGCGGGGAAAAAGTATTTTTATATTGTCACCTGTACACAAACCTGTGAGATAACATAGATAGGTATTAACTGTTTGTTTAATGTGATGAAACCAAGGCATTGGTGATTTGTTGATGGAACATAGATAAGCCAGGGATTTTTATTAACCTACAGAGTTATTTTCCAGTTGAAAAACTAATAGTTACTGTTATCAAGGCATAAGGCATGCATAGTGGTAGGTAAATCCCATTGTGATCTTCACATATTTAAAAGAAAAATTTGCCTTGTGTGGTAAACTGACACTAAACATTTCTGGGTCTTGAAGAGTTAAGTAACTATTAAAAGTTAACAGTAGACTCTGCTGCATTTTCGAGGGAGACCTTCTCCAGACATTGGATTGTCTTTTTGCACAGCTCTCTTCTCTCCTCCTCTGTCCTCTGAGCTCTAACTACCTTGGTTTCCCAGCCTCTTAGCTCTTTTGCCTCAAGTCAGGGAGCGTAGGTTCCACTTCCCTGCGCCTGTGTCCTAAAAACACTCTGAGGGGCACAAAACTCAGTGGAATTATATTCAGAATTCATGACCACATTCTGGATGTCTGGATGACTTTCTGACCAAGTGTTCCTGCTTGTCTGGGTCTACCATACATGTATGCTAGGCACCAGCACTTCTGTGGATATTCAGAAACTGTTCAAAAAAGGATCACTGGAGTTCATTTGCACCTGATGATTTTGCCTTTGTTGACTGACTCTACTAGCCCCTCTGGAAATGACAAACAGCTGTCTGGATGAATACCTGGACCTCAATGTTGCCAAGAAACTAAGGTGGCATTTCTAATTCTTCCCCCTCCCCTGACCTTTAATGCTTTCTGATGGTGATTCCACCCTGAAGGTAATGTGTGCTACTTGTTAATTAAGAAAAAAACAAACAAAACAAAACCATTAACAGTCTGTAAGAAGCAAGAACTCCACAAACTTCTGACAAATGACAGCAACTCATTGGAAAATTCTAAGTATTAAAAGTGCTTCGTTTTAGCTCTGCAAGGGACAAATGCAGTTTATGTCAAATTTGAAGCTCGTTTGGTGTGGAGCACTAATTACTGCCTTTGCTCTTCTTTGATGGAGATCATGATAATGACTTGGAAGAAATCACATCTCATTTCTCTTGGCAGCACAAAAGTGATTACTCTCAAGGAGGGGGAGAATTCAAAGACTGAGGTTTAAAGGTAGTGTAAAGCCAATGAATTATTTTCTGTTTTGAATTTTTAAATTTCTTGGAATCTTCCCTTTTCTTCTAACATTTTGCCATGTGATTTCTGAAAAGAATAGGTCTTCATCTCAAAGCTGTGGTATTTCCTCAAAGAACACTGTGTTCTAAAGAAGCTGCCAGGGCAGGGAAAGTGGCAGGGCAGGGGGTAAGGGCAGCATCTGGGGGCCTGCCCTTTGGGGTCGGCGGCATGGACCCGGGCTGCCCAGATGAGGCTTTGCTCTGGCAGCCCTTGGACCTATCTCCGGTGCTGGTCAGAGTGAGAGCAGAAGCTACTTCCCAGGATAATGTGCATGATCCACAGGAGCAGCAGGCCATATGTGTGCCTGGAAAAGAAGCCCAGGACTAATTAAAATGAAGGGCCCCTGTCCTCCTCTAGCTCACCTACTCTGGCACATCCATTGAGCCAATCACATTCTAACTTCTGTTCCAAGAATTGACTTTATCCTGGATTCTGTGCCTTATGAACAGTATTGGGCAGATTGTCATCCTTACTCACACATCCTGCTATTAATAGGAACGGATTTTTAAAGGTGGACATTGCATTCACCCATCGCTGCCTTCCATAGATACCACCCTTGCCCTCAAGCTCAATAATTCTTCATTAAAAGCATCTGATCCTCTTTTTCTATAGAATCATCCCAAACTCTACCTTTTCACAACTTTTTAAATGAAAAAAATGGTGGAGGGCCTGCTATCTTTCTATAAGAAAACTTCATTGACTAAACAAAGGAAAAGTAAATGCTCCTGTCTGGGTTTGCAAGATTATATTGTGCATCTTATTCTTTCACCGTTGAAATGTTGATACCGTTCTCCTGCTGGCCAGTCAAGAGGCAGTGCCACATGACTGTATCAGAACACCAGAGGGTAGGTGCTAGCAAATTCAAAGACAGACAGACATATAAAAGAGTTTGGCTGCAAGCACCCTGGACTGGACGCATCAGACCTGCTTTCTAGTCTCTCTACAAAACAGTGACACTGAGAGACCATTTAACATTGGTGTCCTCAGTTGAGTAATTTCTCAAATGAAGGACTTTAATGGGCTTAGAAGGGAAGCGTCATTACACCTCTGACATTCTGCAACTCTGAGGGTCTCATCCAATCAAATTGGAAGAAAAGCCAAAGCATTTTAAGTTTTACTTATATACAATGAACAAAGCTGTAAATTTTAAAGTGCACTCCATTTTGTAACTTGCTACTTTAATAAACAATTTCATATTTTGGCCTTTAAAATATTCTATGCTAATTAGAATCTGATTCTTACAGCTCCAGAAAGAGATGTGTGGAGACATGAAGTAATTTAACTGATGTTATGGGGCAAAATCATTCACATGAGAATATTCATAAACTTCCCGCTCACCTATCTTACTAAGGATATCCCATAATTAAATTGTCAGCTCCATTTCCCCTTCCACAACATCCTAAAGAGGAAATTCTTCTTTCTGGAAGAGATACTAAGTAAATATACATAATAACAGGCTGATGGAGAAGAAAGGAAAGAGGAGGGAGGCTTGCTTTGTGGCAGGGGTGGAGGTGCTTAACCATCTGTGTTGTGTGGAGAAAGTGACTAGACGTTTGAAATAGCATTGTAATAGGTTACTTGTAGACTAATTATGGTGCTTTCAAAGACATAAAGATGAAATTTACCTTTTAATTCCTTAAACTGTTGAAACATGCTTCTTGAATGCAACACAACTCTTAACACCAAATTATATGATTAAAGATTTTTGAGGACCACCATGCTAAATGAAAATTAGAGACCAATTCCAAATAACTTCTAAAATCTCACGCTCAAACAGGACCCCTTTTGTCCATGCCTTTCTTTCCTCTTTAACTCCCCTACCCACTCACCTGACAAACACTAAATGTCTCTCTGTGCTAGAGGTGCAAGGGTGAGCTCAATTATAGGTCTTTCCCTGGAGGAGATCCTCATGGGTCCTTGGCTCACCTGCCACCCTTCTGGGTGGATTCCAGAGATATTTCTGGCCTGCAGGCTTGGAAAGATTGGATTGAGACTGTATACAGCTACAAATTAGCTGGTAACATTATTCCCCATCCCTTTCAGTCTACCCTGTTTCAAATTTATCCTCTTCTTGAATCACTTTCTCTTCTTTTAAATTAAAAAATTTTTTATTTTGGTATCATTAATATACAGTCACATGAGCAACATTGTGGTTACTAGGTTCACCCCATTATCCCTACCATGTACCCCATTACAGTCATTGTCCATCAGTGTAGTAAGATGCTATAGAGTCACTACTTGTCTTCTCTGTGCTATACTGCCTTCCCCGTGACCCACACCACACGTTATATTTGAATCACTTTCTCTTAATGTCTGGCTATATCTTTCCAACGGAATCTAGATCTTTCCCAGTCTAACACCTATTTTATCATGTGAGAGGATGAGAAAGCATAATCAAAACATCAAGTCCCTAAATAAAAGCCTCCTTCACTTAAAGCATAATAAATCAGGGTACACGGAATGTTCCTGGAAAACCACTAGAATGAGCTGCAAGGACTTCTATCTAGTGATACCTCTTTTCCGTAGCAGTAATCTTTGGGAAAAAAAAAACTGATTAATTCCCTCTTTCAATTAATGTTTTTTCAATACCTCTAGACATAAAGATCATATTTTAAGGTCATTTAAGCACTCAGTGATACTTCAACATTGCATTATTTTCTTTATACATATGCCTCTATTTTTATTAATAAAATCCTAGCTGTGTCTATTAAGATTGTGTTAACAACAAATACTACAACTGAAAAAGAACTACTTCAATAGCTTAAATAAGTGAGAGGTGTTTTTTTCTCATGTAACAGGAAAGCTGGAGGTCAGCAGCCCAGGTTGGAGCAGCTGCTCAAGGACATCTAGGAATTGGGATCTGTCTGTCTTCCTGCTCTACCATCCATGGTGTGTGGCTTCTGTCCAGATGACCTGAGAATGGCAGTTGCACACCCAGGAAAGAAGGAAGGAGGGAAAACCCAGGCTTTATTCTGGAAGGGACTTTCTCCATACAGACTTTTGCCTATATTTCATTGACCGCAGCAGTGTCACAAGGCCTCCCCTAGATGCAATGGAGTCTGGGAAGAAAAATAATTTCCAACCTCTATAACAGAGACAGGCAAGGGAAACAGGTGTAGGTTTTGATGTCAACTGAGCTTGCCCTAGTGACTTCTCGAGTATATATCAATGAATGCAACTTACAGCTGCATTCCTCCCTTGCAGCCTGAGGGGCAAAATGCTTTCTAAATTATGAAATGCACTGTGAATGTTATCACAAAGCATATTTCAATGATTAATTCAATTTGGCACTTCCAAGAAAATTTTTTAAAGCATTGCTCCTCTTTTACTTTGATTCCATTCTTGATAAAATAGGGATATATATATATATATATTCTCAACCAGTAAGTTGAGAGTATTTTTTTTCTTTTCTGTAATTATTCATAAAAACTGTAGGCACTTGTCAGCTTGGGTGAACATTTCCCTATCTCTAGATGTTCTGTTTTTCTCAAATGTTCTTCTTTGTATGTGAGAGTAGGAGCTGTAACTGAATTATAGGAAGAAGGGAATTCCCAGTTTACAAGCTGGCTATGTACCCTGATTACTCATTATGAGTCTTAGGGTACCATACAACTCACTAATGAGAACATAATGCTGGTCAGTGCTAATTAGGTGATAATCATGTTCACTGCTTTATTTATAGTCTATCCATTTCAATACATTAAACATATAATAGAAAACAGTGTGAAAGAAATTGGAATTGGGTTTCTTACTTTATAATGGTACACATACAAATGTAAATTTATCTCAAAATGTGTCTGAAAACAGCAATTAAATCTGAAAATTTTTCACCTCCACTAACATCTTTATGTGACCTGACTACAGAGAGATTTTACATGCATAGGAGATATTAATAAATCCAACCTGTAGTTGGAACTATGAAGTGGGATCCTAAACCAATCTGATGAGAATGTTCTGACATTTTCTTAGGATCAGAAACATAATTTAATACATGAATAAATATGTGGCAAACTATACTCAATTACGATCTTATTTCCTCTTTTAGGACATAGTATCAAAATATTTCAGGATCTGTATTTTTTAAATGAGAGTGTAATTGTCCAAAATTTCACCACTAAATTCAAAGTGACTTTTCGGTGAAATAATTTCTTAAGAGCACATGTAGAGTGGCACTACAGTAAGTGCATGAAAAAGAATTTGTAGACAAAAGAATCTAGAGGCCAACTCTCTTTTTTCTCAAATAGTAGCCTTTCTAGTTTGTGGGCATCTGCTCTCCTACAATTTTGAGATAGACCAAATGACTGAGGGTCTCTTCTCAAAATAAGTTGAAAAATGTGCTGCTCAAAGTATTCATAAGAATTGGTCATAGAAAAAAATAATAAACAGTTCTTCTAAATTAATTGGAACAAAACTGGTTTTGAGAATCCCACCCCAGTGAGATTACATAAAATGGCAGTTTTTAAAGTTACATTGTGTTGCACTAAACAATTTTAGGTCTTTCCCTTTTGATTGTCAACTCAAACAGATGAATCAAATAAAAGAATGATGTAAGGAATTTAACCACTGTGATAAGGGCCAATATGATTCTATTTGCAACTTCTGACATCAACATGTTTGAGTCTCCCTAGACCTCTAGTTAGTCCAGACTGGCTGGCATCATGCTCTTTCACCTGAACGAGATTTGCAAAGTTTCAAAGAACATGCTCCAAGGGAGAAGCTGGCTGGGCTTATGTTTTTATGAGACTCAAATCATGGGGGGACAAATGAGGCTCAGACCAGGAAATCCACAAGCCTGGGTGCTCTAATCCTGTCTGTCCCATAAAGTAGCCACTAGTCACATGTTGCTGCTGAGAACTTGACACATGGCTAGTCTGAACTGAGCTGTGCTGTATGTAAGTATAAATGCACATTGGGTTTTGAATATTTAATATGATAAAGTAAGGTAAAATATCTTAATAATTTAATATTTTATTACATGTGATGATAGTATTTTGGATATATTAGGTTAAATGTATTTTAACATTAATTCACCTGTTTCTTTTTCTTTCCTTTAATGTAATTAGAAAATTTTAAATTACATATATGATTTGCATTAGTGACTCATATTTTGATTGGAAAGCACTGCTCTAACCTAATGGGTTAGTCATCTTGGAGCTGACAAATTATAGACTACTCATGTGAATTTAAAATTATTATTAAACAAAGATGTATTGGGCTATCACTGCAAACCAAGTACTGGGTAATGTACTGGGGATATTAAGATGAATTGGACATAGACCCTTGCCCTCAAGGGTCATAGGCATTTAGCATGTGCAGGGAGCTCTGGTCACATTAAGGATGAATGACTGGAAAAGTCATAATTTTGCCTTTTCTTATTTATGGATTTTGAGATTGTTTCTAAGTTACTGTGAACAATGCAAGAAAAAAACAACAGTGCCCCATTTTGTGATTAAAAACTTGGAATAACCTATGAGGAATGGGGTTCCCAGTGAATCTATTTCTGGACTCTTTTCTGCTCTAATGATGTTTCAGTATTTACTTATTTTTCTTTTTCACCAGAGTTAATAGCTAATAACCTGCTTTCTTCCTCTCTGCCCCCTCCCTTTCCTCTATCTCTGTGTGTGTGTATGTTTTGCATGCCCATCAATAATTCACACCCGGGCCCCACTGGTGGGTGTGCAGCTAGTTCAGCAGCGTTGCTCCTTTCCTGGGGACGTGTCCCTGGAACCTCACGTCCTTGTTTCGGTGGGGGCTGGTGGCTCGCAATGGTGGCAGCGCCTGTGGGCCTGGGACTTCCCTTTCTGATTATCCTGAAGATTCCCATCACCTCATTCTTGAGTTAGATCACTAGTTTTCTGGGCTCCATGGCTGCCTTTTTCTTTGTTTACTCTTATTTTAGAGAAACCCTCCTTGTGTAACTTCCTGAGAAAAGATGTAGAAGAGTAAAATTTTGAGAATTTATATGACCAAGAATTTCTTTAGACTTCTCTCATTCTTAAACTAGTTTGCTGGATATAGAATTCCAGGATGGAAATAATTTTCCTGCAGAACTTTGAAGGCAAATCTTTATGTCTCCTCACTTTTAGATGTCAGGAGGTCTTATGTCATTATGATGCTTTATTATATGTAACACGTTCCCCTCTCTCCTGGAAAATTTGGTATCTTTTCCTTTTCTCCAATTTTCTAAAATTGCATAATAGTGTGCCCAGGTAAGATCTTTACTTATTTATTATATTTGACACTTGGTGAATGCTTTCAGGTTGGAAATTTATATCCTTCAATTATAGGAAATATTTTTGGACTATTTAATAATTTCTCCCCTTCAATTTTCTCTAAACTCTCTTTCTGAAGCTGCAAGTAGCTAATCATTATACCTCCTGGATTGTTCCTCTAATTCTTTTCTCTTTTTTTCTACTTTTCATCTCTTTTTTGTCCTATCTTCAGGGAAATGTGCCCAGCTTTGTCTTCCAATCCTCCTATTTTTTTCTTCTGTAAACTTTTATCAACTGGGATGATAGGGGTATTTGATCACAGCAGGATTCAGTCCTGAAAAGATCGGAAATCACAGCAACACTTGAGGAAGTGTCAGATCAAGCAAGTCTCTTGGTTATATGGCAAACATTAATAGTGTAAGATTGTAGAGACCAAATCTTTGTTAGAGACACAGGATATGGGATTAAAATGGGGATGCCGGCGTTCCCTGGTGTGGTGAACCCGAGACCTTATTTCTGTGTTTTTGAAGTCGTGATCCTTTCCCTTGTCACTGCCCCTCAAAATGCAATCATTTTTCCAAATAATTTCAAGCCCTCTCCAGACATTTTCCCTCTCATCAGTAATTTTTAAGTAGGTTATTTGAAAAATAACTCTTATTCATTAATTTTTCCCACCCCACACACTCCATTCTAAGAAACTGGCAGACTCCCAGCACAGAGCTTATGTTCTTTCTCTTTGAAATGCAAACTTAAACAAGTGGATGTTTGTCTTCCTTCTCCACTATTACAGAATGAGCACGTGCTTACTGCAAAGTTTATTGCTTCTCACAGGCATCTTTATTCTGCAACTTACTTGTCACAGCCACTTGTCACAGTTCTTAATGAGAATGCTATTCTCTGCCCTGACAGAGCAACCATCAATTCTTCTGACCCAACTAGTCAACCTGCTAAACCATTTTCATGATTATTTACAAGGAAACACTAGACCAGAGACCTAAATAATATACCCCAATATACAAGAGCTCAGATTTAATTTGTAGGCAGTATTTCATTTGTTGGCCATGAGAAGAGAAATGTGTATGTTGAGTAGGCTTGGGAAGGAGATGGCATAGGGAGAAGACATCTTGATGAGAAGACAACTTGATGGGAACTGTCAATCCTGCTACTGAACGTTCCATTTCTGTTGTCAAGACCTCTTTTTGGTAGGGTTTTGTTCTTGTTCTATTTTTTCACAGGGGAAAGTGTGAGTGCAGTCCTTCACTACCACAAATTATTCAGTTGAGTTTCCTACCTTTGGGGAAATCGCAAGAGTCAGCATCCGGAAAGCAGGTGGATGAGCCTCGCCCCGGGAAAACCACCTCGTGATCATGGCATCTCCCCTGCCAGGTAAGTATAAGTAGGGTGTGGATTTTTACTTTTTTTTTGTATGTTCATTTTTACAAACTCTTCTTTTTATTTAAATAGATGAGAATACCTTCTCATGTCATTGGATAAATTGGTTAGCATTCTTTGAATATTTTCCTGATATTTGCATTGGCTCTGTTACCTCTACTATCCTTTTTCTGGACATTCTGTTGTCATTTTGCTTTTTGTGCAAAAATATTTCTTCACAGTCTGGTGACTGTTAGCAGTCTATTCCTGTGTATGAGGAAGCACTGAAAAGCCAGTGGCAGCTCCAAGTGAATGGGTACATGTTGCTGGCAGGTGGGCTTCACAGTAGGGTCGTCTGGCTGGGGATCTTTGGAGGGTTGCCAGTATTAGGCTAATAAGTCTCTTTACTTGGATTGGCCAGTTTCTCCAGAGAATAATCCTTTAATTTCCTATGGAGGAGGAAAGGCTGAACATTTTTCTGTTCATATTATGGCTTTACATTTAATCCTTCTGTGTCCTGTGCCTCAGCTGTCCTTTCAACTTTGATTTGTATCCCTAAATACAAACCTTGGTGTGAGTTTCCCCAGAGAAGGCATATGTAATCATCTGCAGGATCTGAGGCAGGGGGCCAGCCTGCAGGTGGAGGCACTTCTGTTTCTATATAAGCTCTCAGCATGTTTTTCATCTTCAGCTCCAGCTAGTCTCCCCATTTCTCACTGGAGGACCCAGTGTCTTTACATTCTGAGCCTTTTTGGGGGTCTGTGATAGAAAACATATTGTTCCTAGGCTTCCCCCACTAACATACTACATTTTTGTCTTCCCTCCTCCTCTAAATCCATTATCAATTGTCCATTTGCTTTTTAGCTTCCAAAATTATGTTGTTGTCATCATTCTTATAGTTTATGCCTTCTATACTTCATTTAATGTCATTTAATGATGCCTTAAGGCAACAAGGAAAAACATCAGTGTTTTCCTGCCATATTTAACTGGCTTTTTTGTATAACATCATATAAAGCTACAATGTCAAGGCCCTGTACTCCTCATTACTCCCTTCCACATTGGCTGCTCTCTTTTGCTTCTGCAAATACCATGCATGAAATAAAAATCGTTCATTTGACCTTATTGTAGCTTCATATGATATTATACAAAAAAGCCACCCTAGCAGATTCTAATCCAGTAAATGGTGACTTCACCACCCACATGTTATACTCTGTTCCTATATATCAATGCCCCTAACTAAAAAGCAAGCTCTGGCTAATACTTGCCCCTTTCTGCCTCTATTACCCAGAGAACACCCCATTAGCCATCCTTTCCCTATCCTTAGCCTCAGATATGAATGAATCTGGTTTCACATGCAAGAAAATTTTAATCAAGAAACACAGTTGATCTTCAGTCTTTCTGTTCTTTTCACATATGACCTTGGTATAGCTAAATAAACATTTGTTGAGTACCTATTAAACACCAGTCTTTGTGTACACCAAGGGCTCAAAAAAATGCAAAGTACAGTCCTCTGCCGTTGAGGAATTCAAAGTCTCTTTACTCCATGACTCCTTGCTAACTCCCACGTAGTAACTGGGACTGACTCCTGAGTGGAGAGAGCACTGGGTGATGGCTAAACAGATGCTTGACATTGGATTTTCACTCACACTGAACCTAGTTTCTTTCATTTTCTATATAAATTACCATTGAAGATCATTAGAAATTAGCTTCGATCCCAATGTATAACACTGTAAAAGTAAAATGTCATTATTTCTCATTAAAAGAAGAAAAAAAAACCCATGACACTCCTGTAATTGGTAGATAATCTATGCATAAAGTTCTTGAATCAGGTCAACTGATGGGGGCTCCCGTAGTGACTAGTTTGTAGTAGGCTCCTTTCTGGGCCATCAGGCCTTCATGGGTGCCCTTTTCAATAACTACCCCCTGTGACATGACAGCAATGATGTCCGCTTTCTGAATGGTGGACAAACGATGGGCAATGACAATGCATGTCCGACCCTCTCTGGCTTTGTCCAGGGCCACCTGCACCGTCTGCAAAGAGAAGATGGAAAAGACACATGCTTGTTCCCTGGCCACCATAGTAAGAGTTGTGTTTGATATCACTATACCTAGGGGTGAAACCCAAAGGATTGACATGAGAGATGACTGAATGAGCATTTGCTGGACACAATGTAGCAATGATTTAAATTGCAATCCATAGGCTGAGAATTTCGGTGAAACAAGAATGAACCAAACTATGAGGTCATTATGTAATTTTACAATAGTTGATGGCACAGTTTGTAAAAATGAAACCAAATAAACCATGTAAGGTAGTAGTTAAATGGTCATTCCTGATACTGTTCTTCATTGAGGACATTTTAGATCCTTCCAAAAGAGAATCCTCATTTTTAAGGAGTTAATTATAAATGGTATATTTCATAATTGAGTTCTGCTCCATTGCATTTTCTTTCCTTTCATTCATTTCCAACTGCATATCAGATGCCACCTCTATGTGTCATATGCTCTTACCTGCTCTGCCACATAAGTTCATGACTATAAGACATGGAATGCTTAACAGATGACCTGGATTATTTTATTTTACTTAAGAAAGTTAATTATTTGCTCTTAAAAAATAATCAACTAGCCTGAAGAATCTCGAAAACAATTCTTATTTTAAAGTCAACATATTTTTTTATTTGAAGCAATCTCATGTTTAATCACTTTCTCTAGATGATTATCTTTTGAGTCCACAAAATATTGGCGATTGCTACTGTTAATGAATTAGAAAATTGAAAGTACTACCATTTTATAAGGACAAATGTTACAGAAAAAGACTCATTTATAATGATCTAAGGCTTTAGAAAATTGATACATACCTTCTCACTTTCTGTGTCTAAGGCAGAAGTAGCTTCATCTAGTAGCAGGATTTTAGGATCTCTTATGATGGCCCGAGCGATAGCAATGCGTTGTTTCTCCCCTCGGGAGAGCTGAGACCCCTGGGACCCCACATTAGTGTTATATTTCTGCAAGAAGTAGGCAAGTTTAAGAACCAGGAATAGCCATTGCTCCCATGCTGTATGGAGGCCACATCAATGACCCCTTTGTGGGTTTAAACTATTTGTTGTTTTTTTAAATTGGGAATAATTAATTAGCCTTTCTATAAAATGATGTCAAATCCAGTTAGGAATTTTTTTTAAATATGAAGTTTGTGACCTTTTGTGATGGGAAACAGGGACCTTATATCCCTTTCTCTGCATTTCTTTTAAGTTTATTTTTTTATCTTGTTCTCCTTGTGCATGAGATCCTCCCTGATTCAAGGTCCCCTGATTTCCAAACCTCTGTTTGGATGATCTTTTCAAGACAGAATGATTCTAGAAACACAAGGGCTTTTTGAGAGATCTTCTGGTCTATCCCCTTAGTAAGCAGGCATCATTCTGGAATACAAGCTGAGGTATGAATCTCCATACTGCTGCTTCCTATCTCTGTGTTCATGAACAAATTATTTAAATTTTCGGCGCTGCAAACTCATCTGAAAAATGGAGATATTAATAACTAGTTCACATACTTGCTGTTTTAGGTGTAATTATCAAGGAAAATGCCTAACAAGATGCCTGGCAGAGAGGCGGAGCCAACATGGCGGCGTGAGTAGGAGGACAGTGGAATCTCCTCCCCAAAACATATATATTTTTGAAAATACAACAAATACAACTAATCCTAAAAGAGAGACCAGAAGACACAGGACAACAGCCAGACTACATCCACTCATGCGAGAGACCAGTGCTTGGTGAGAGGGGTAAGATACAAGCCCCGGCCCAGTGGGACCTGAGCACACCTCCCCCCAGCTCCTGGTGGGAGGAAGAGGGATCCCAGGACTGCTAAGCACCCAGCCCCAGCCACCCACACAAGAGCGCAGACACAGTGCATGCGTGGAGGGCTGGAAACTAGGGAAACAGGGCAACAAGACCTCTGAGCTGGTTCCGAAGCTGATGCCCCTGTGAAAAAGAAAACTGAGTGCTTTTTGAAAGTCTTAAAGGGACAGGGACATTAACAGCTGGACAGAAACAACAAAGGTCACAGTCCAGTGGCTGGAAATTACAGGGAAAACCGGGCACACTAATCCCCTGGGCAACAGCTCTTAGAACCCTCAAGGAGGTAAAAAGCTAAACAACCCCCGTCCCCCCATCCATTACCCTCCCGGCGCTGTGAAAGCAGAGAAACAGCCTAAGGCAGGCCACGCCCTCTCAGAAAGGGAGTTTTGTCCATATCAGCGGGTAAGACACAAAGAACCAGTCTACACGCAATTACCCAACACAAGCCACTAGGGGTCGCAGTTGTCCCAGTAAAGAAAGGCCAGTAGCAAGTGAAAAG